ATCATTTGGGTAAATGCCCAAAAGTGGGATTGCTGGGTCATAGGGAAGCTCTATGTGGAGTCTTTTGAGGAACCTCCATACTGCTTTCCAAAGTGGCTGAACAAGTTTACACTCCCACCAACAATGCAGTAAGGTTCCCTTCTATCCACATCCCCTCCAGCATCTGTTGTTATTAGAGTTCTTGATTTTAGCCATTCTAACTGGGGTGAGGTGGAATCTCAATGTTGATTTTCATTTCTTTTATGGCTAGAGAAGTTGAGCATTTCTTCATGTGTCTTGAACATTCTTATTTCCTCTTCAGAGAAGTCTCTTTTTAAGGCTTTAGCCCATTTATTAATCAGACAGTTGTTTCTTTGAGTATTTGTTGTTGGGGGATTTAAGTTTTCGAGTTCTAAGTATATTCTAGAGATTAGACCCTTGTATTTGTTGTATGGCTAGTGAAGCTCTCCTCCCAGTCCGTGGGCTTTCTACTGATCTTGCTAGCTATGTCTTTTGCCATGCAGAAGCTCTGTAGTTTTATGCAATCCCATTTGTCCAACTTTGATTTGTTGTGTTTCTGGGTCTTTATTAAGAAAATTTTAGCCTGTGCCAAGGAGCCCTAGAGTTTCTCCTATCCTTTCCTGTAATGTTTTCAGGGAGTCTGCTTTTATTTCAAGGTCTTTGATCCACGTGGAGTTGATTCTGGTGCAGGGTGATATATACAGATCTAGCTTTAGTTTTCTACCAGGTGTTAAACAATTTTGCCAGCACCATTTACTGAAAAGGCTTTCTTCAATTCTATTTCTTTAGCTCATCAAAGATTAGGTGGCTATAGGTCTATAGGTTCATATTTGGGTCTTCAGTCCTATTCCATTGGTCCTCAGGTCTGTTCTTGTGCCAGTACCAAGCTGTTTTGATTACTATGGCTTTGTAGTAGTTTGAAATTTGGAATTGTTACTCCTCTAGTGCTTTTCTTTCTGCTAAGTTTTTGCTATTTGGGGTCTTTTATTGTTCCACATGAATTTTTGGATTGCTTCTTCTATTTCATTGAAGAATGAGATTGGGATATTGATAGGCATCACATTCAATTTGTAGATAGCCTTCGGCAGTAGTGCTATTTTCGCGATGTTAATTCTCCCAATCCAGGGGCATGGGAGGTTAGAAACCTTGGATTTTTGTGACAGTTATTTCCCACCAACCTTTAAGGAAGTTTGTATGTTTTCTTTTTTTGTTTAGGAAAATTCCATAACAAAGGCTGTTTGCTATCTGCTGCTAGATAAGGATATTCTTTTTTTCTTTTTTGTTGGTCATGGGGCTTGAACTCTGGGCTTGGGTGCTGTCCCTGCACTCTTCAGCTCCAGGCGAGTGCTCTACTGCTTAAGACACAGCACCACTTCCAGTTTTCTAGTTTATTGGAGATAAGAGTCTCACAGACTTTCCTGCCCAGGTTGAACTGCGATCCTCAGATCTCAGCCTTCTGAGTAGCTAGAATTAAAGGCATGAGCCACCAGTGCCCAGCAGATAAGGATATTCTTGTAAGGTTCATTTACAACTGATTTGGTTTTATTAAAACATATATTCAACAAAGAACAAAATCTAAACTTTCTCACCTGTACTGATTCATGATCACAAGAGCAAAAAACAGCTTAACATGGTATTCAACCATTCACAACAACTCCTGCCAATATATTTCATTTAATATTTTGATTAAAAAAAAAAACAAACCAAATCAAACAGGATGACTTACCACCCAAGAGCCTCTTAGCATGAAATTCATGAGAACAGGAGATTTGGCTATTGCCAAAGCAGACAAAGCTGTTACACCAATACTTCCTGCTAAGTACATATAGGTAGAATGTATTCTATCCTTCACATACTGAGGCCAGATTCTGTAAGAAACATGACATAGTTTATGAAACTATGTGTTAGAACAATCTTCATTTATCATAGAAATAATTAAGTTACTAGAAAGATTAAATGACAAGCACTTGGGGCATGTAAAAATCAACACATATAACACAGGTGAAAAAACATTAGGTTTGAATAAATACATGCCAAGAAAGCAAAAGATTCTATTTTTATTTATGTATGTACATAAGACTATCCAAATGTGAATATGAGAAAACTGGAACTTCGTTTTAAAGAAGTCTTAAGATTCTTTATGAGTAATTACTTACACAGCCTTTTCAATAGCTCCAATCTCATTAGACATTCCCAAGCCATAGTAACACAGTGTGCCAAGACCAACAGCAGCCCCTCCAGCAACGAACCA